CCCCCCCCCCTCCCCCCTGCGGTTTTCCCCCTTTTTCATGTTAACATGGTGAAATTCAACCCATTAATATTTGTTTGTTGAAAGCATGCATTTGGGGCCCTGATTTATACCCCAGCATGTTAGGCAGGATACACAGCCAGCCCACCTCATCTGTTGGGGGAGCGTGACAAGCGTTGCATGGGTCGACCCTTGAATTAGTTTACAGCTTGTTGATGGGGGTGCTGTTGTTTTGTGGTGTGATTGGGGTTTCATCCAGTTGCTGTCCTTTGCAGGGTGAAGAGGCTAGTGTGCATGTGAGTAACCATATCCTTTTCTACCCAAGCAAAATCTTCTCCTCTATTCTCACCTGTGATTTGGGGGGAGGAATAAACTTTTGAAGTCTAACCTTCCGGCCGTGTTGTTTCAACAGTCTCCATCCGTAAACCACCAGTATGTTTCCCAGCTATTGTGTTCCCATGTGGCGGTTAACCCCCCACAAAATAGTAGGTCGAGCGTACTGGATGGAAAAGGCTGCCGTCGCCTGGCAATTTGGGCTCATACCGGATTGCCTTTTTTTTTTTTACGTGCGGCAGAAATCCGCATTGCACAGACTGGTGGTTTAAATTCTTCCATTTCGCCCTCCCTTCCCCGTCCTCCACTCCTCTGTGCTCTGTGCCTCCCTTCCCGTATCCATTCCAAATGGCGCAATCCAGTTACTTGAGCTTCAATTTCCTTTAAATGAATATGCTCAAATCCACAATGTCCCTAATTTCTTTATCTCCCCCCCCTCTCTGCTGCCTATTCCTTCCTTCAGTATGGCAATGGAAGCAAGAACATCTTACGGGAACAAAGTACGTCATAGCCCGTCAAATATTTGTGCAGTGTTTGTGTTAAATATATTTGATGTGGCTCTGAGTGGTGGCGCTCTCGTTTTGAATTATTCCTCCGTCAGGTGGAGGAGGGCTGAGATTCTTGGTATATTGCCCAGTTGTTCATTTAGCTTAATCACGACTACTGTAGTTTTGTATGTAATTGTTAAACAGACAAGTCATGCCATTGGCTTGAAATTTAGAGGTGATGAACTCCAAGTCGTTATCTACCCAGTACTCTATGTAGTGTAGTGGCAGCGGGCAACTCACTGTGTGCCGAGCTCCGTAGCTCTCGTCCGTTTTCGCCCTTTGATCCTTGTCTGGGCAGCAACCTTTGGAAGTTTCCGTGTGTCAAAGGGTGTGTCCAGAACGCTATTTGGTTGAAGTTCGTTGAACTCTTCCGTTTTTACCCAGTGCATGTCGATCGTCACTTGGAGACGTGCGCTATGTTTACAACTATACGTCACAAATTTGCAATCCTTCTCCTCGACTCGCAGTGTGGTTGATGTCGTACGGAAATATACATCGCGATCCTTCTCCTTGAGGCTGCACACCCCAAAAAGAAAGAGTCGGGCCATGGGAAAAAAAGGCCCAACCCAAGGTGAGAGAGCAAACCATGCCGCCAGGGAAAATACAAACACAATGTGGCAGTGAGAAAAACAGTACCAACCGATGAGAGTTCCCGTACCCGCACGACAGTTCCCCTGCCTTACTGCATTGGCTAGATAAGATGCCTGGTGGCACAGCTGGTCTAACGTGTGAGAAGAAATCGCCTCCGGTGTGGGCCAACATGTGCCCATAACACCAAAGCCATCGTGCCGAAGCAACACTTCCCCCTACATGCGGCGGCTGAGCCAAGTCTAGAGAACATAGCGCACCGAAGTGTTTGCTTTTTTGTTTTTTTTAATGTCTGTGTGTGTGTCACACACACACACAGAGAGAGAGAGAGAGAGAGAGAGAGA